TGAATAAAGTACAAATATATATAAACAAAACATCACAGTACCTACCTCCCTCCCTACCTACCTCCCTCCCTACCTACCTCCCTCCCTACCTACCTACCTACCTACCTACCTACCTACCTACCTACCTACCTACCTACCTACCTACCTACCTACCTACCTACCTACCTACCTACCTACCTACCTACCTACCTACCTACCTACCTACCTACCTACCTACCTACCTACCTCCCTCCCTCTCTCCCTCTCTCCCTCCCTACCTACCTACCTACCTACCTACCTACCTACCTACCTACCTACCTACCTACCTACCTACCTACCTACCTACCTACCTACCTACCTACCTACCTACCTACCTACCTACCTACCTACCTACCTACCTACCTCCCTCTCTCCCTCCCTCCCTCCCTACCTACCTACCTCCCTCTCTCCCTCCCTACCTACCTACCTACCTACCTACCTCCCTCCCTACCTACCTACCTACCTACCTACCTACCTACCTACCTACCTACCTACCTACCTACCTACCTACCTACCTCTCTATCTATCTACCAACGTGTGCAAAGTAGCTGCAATTTTTTTTATTAAAATGTAAATCGAAATAGGGCATTTTAATGCAAATTATTCAGGGTTTTTGATAGAAATAAACTACAGAACTAAAGTGCTGATGACACTGAATGAGGTGCTTGTTGTTATTGCTTGATGCCAATGTTTGCCTTATTTTGTTAGAGTAAACTGTACGACTTGAAGGAAAGGGACAAGCTAGTGGAGAGGGAGACGGCGGTGGCTTTGCGGCAGAGCGAACGTTTGAAGGAGAGTTTGCAGGTGGAGGAACCAGAACTGTCAGAGAGCTGCAGACTCCTGAACCACAAGAGAAGAGCCACGGCCCAGAGATTAAAGGCTTGTTCATCTTCTTTTATTTTAAACATACCAGGCCTGCAGAGAGAGCATTCAGTCTTGTTCATCTTTGTCATTGGTTGGTTGTGATTCACAAAAAGGCAACGAGCAGAGGTGGAACAAGTTAGCATTGTAAGGGCTCCCTCAACAAAAAGCAATGGGATTTTTCAATTGGATTTCAGAAAATAATCTCTGTGACACACAAACGTTTATGATACTTACATGTGTTGTTCAGCAGGATAATCTCTACATATTAACACCACTTTTTTTAAATAAAAAGCTAATGTTGGGCTATAAAGGAACTACAGCACGGTCACATGACTTCACGTCACCACCGCTAAGCTAAAGGTGGCTAATGTTGGGCTATAAAGGAACTATAGCACGGTCACATGACTTCACGTCACCACCGCTAAGCTAAAGGCGGCTAATGTTGGGCTATAAAGGAACTACAGCACGGTCACATGACATCACGTCACCACCGCTAAGCTAAAGGCGGCTAATGTTGGGCTATAAAGGAACTACAGCACGGTCACATGACTTCACGTCACCACCGCTAAGCTAAAGGCGGCTAATGTTGGGCTATAAAGGAACTACAGCACGGTCACATGACTTCACGTCACCACCGCTAAGCTAAAGGCAGCTAATGTTGGACGTGATGACGTTTAGTCGTTTCATTTAGACACTTGTTAGCAACTGCCGTTCTTAAATTCACCAGTGGGATATTTACTGACGTATTTTATGTCATACAACAAAATGTTAATATCTCTCCAGCTAGAGTTAACCACAGACCTTATTTCAGGCTAACAACCAGAAACACATTCAGAAAATGTTAACTTTGAGACGAGGAAGTGGTCAAATATGAACTTATTCCTGGGTCTTCAAACTCATTCTTGCAACTCTCTGGACATTTTTACTAATTAAAAGACAATTTCATTGATTCAAACAAATAACAGCGGCAGGCATGAGTCACATTTTAAAAACTGACCGTTGCTCAAACTATGACAGTCATTTTTACTTCTGGTAATGTCTCCAACAGAGAAGCAAAGCAACATGCACGCGTATCCTCAGTGAGAGCCACGACCTGGATGTGAAGAATATCCAGTTGGAGCTGAAAATCGAACAGGTAATCAGATCTGTAATGTCACAAGTTTTTATTCATTCGCTCAGTTGTTGATCGCTGAGTGTTGTGTGCACCCTGGTGGGTAAAGGAGTTACAGAGCTGACTTCACAAAACACAGGAAGCAGCAACGACAAACTATTGCTCTGTGCCATTTTTAAACGTGGCCGAGCCTGTTTATTACCTGTAGGATACCCACATTTTAACATCACTGACATTAGCCGTTTAGATAAAATACCCTCCGCTGCGCTGCTGTTACGTCATACAGTAGAGTGAGTGGTTATTTCAGACCTCTGAGCTACAGACACTTGTCTCATTCATGGACTGATGGCAGTGCTCCAAAAGATAGGGAAAACACTGGAATGGAGATTGTTATGTACACTTGCCCACTAATGATATGTGCCCGAACATTTGTTGATGAACACCGGTTACTCTTACTGTGACATGTCTCCATGCCTTAATGTTCAAAAAGCTCTTTATTTTTCTCATACTGCCTGTGCTGCAGCACCTCTTTTCACCCTCTGTCGGAAACCAGAGCCCAGTCTGCTCTGATTGGTTAGCTGGCCGGCTCTGTTGTGATTGGTCAACCGCTTAGTGATGTCCCGCCCCTTAGCCTATCACGTACTATGTGTTGGAGCGCTATCCAATAGGAGCGTGAGTGTTACATAGAGATGTCACTATGTACAGGAGGTAAACAAAGGAGTCCAATGGAGGTGTTTCAGGGAGGGGGGTGAATGTGCGTGAGAGAAACTCCCTCTGGAGGGAACACAGGGATTTAAGCCTTTGTAGACCATTTACATGCATTAAAAACTATATAACACACTACAGGGGAGGGAAACCCCCAAAAAGCACAATAATGCCTTTTTAAATGAATAACTTGTGTCCCGCAGGCTGAGAATGAGAACGACCGGCTGCAGAGGAAGCACACCGAGGCCCTTCTGGACATTCAGCAGAAGAATGGGATGAAGCACCTGCTGCTGGAGAGGAAGATCCAGACCCAGACAGAAACCCAGGAGAGGCTGAAGATTCGACTGTGGGTGGTGCAAGCTGTCGTACAGAAAGACCAAACGGCTCTCAAGAACATTAAGGTACCATTTTGTATCTGCACTTAGATAATAACCTATGTGTAATCTTTTTTTTACCAGCATAGATTGTACAGATGTAAATGTTTGGCATATTTGCAAATCCTTTTGTTTGCATCTGTGGAAGGTGTTTTACTTTTACACACGGGTTACGTGTATTTTTTCACCTGTAGGAACTATTTCAGTCCAAGGAGGCCACCATCGCAGCCCTGAAGGATGACATGCCTCCAGAGTCAAAGGTCGGCCATTGGTTATGCAAAATAATTTCCTTACATTTCTTTAAAGACGACATATTATGATGATTTTTAGGTTCATATTTGTATTTTGTGCCTCTACTGTGACATGTGTCCATGTTCAAAAAGCTCTTTATTTTTCTCATACTGCCTGTGCTGCAGCACCTCTTTTCACCCTCTGTCTGAGAGACACTCCCTCTGAAGGGAACACAGGGATTTTAGCCTTTGCAGACCATTTACATGCACATGAACCTATACAACACACTACAGGAAAGGGAAAACCCCAAAAAGCACAATAGGGCCTCTTTAATTAATAACTTCTGGTAAGTTCCTGAGATGCTGTCATGTTTTATTGAAAACAAACATGTGATCGGCAGGAACCTGTGGATTTGGGCTTGTCTTTAAACAAGTGGCTTCCACTGGGGACCAATACAAAACCCACCAAGAAAGCCTCTGAAGATAAGGTCAGTTATTTAAAAGGGTTTTCATTCATCTGTTAAATTGATTTGCGGGTTATTATTTCTGTTAAATGTTTGATATGATTCAGTTTTTGATGAAAACTGTGTTAATGTGAATGGCAGCAGGGCTCTGAGAGCTTGATGCAGAGTCTGACGACTTTGTGCATCTCTGACAACGACCCGGTCAGAAGAGACGTCGTCAAACAGAACTCTGTCAGCGCCGGACCAGTGCTGCTGAGGCTTTCAGGTTTGCACTCATCTGCAATATCTTTCAACCAAAATCACTTAATTTCCCCTCTCTCTCATTCAATTCCTTGTAGTTTGAGTACAAGTAAATTACACACACACATTTCCATTTTCGCACAGCGAAATAGCTTCAATAAAGACAAAATGTAGTTTATCCAGATGATCTTATCCCCTCAGCATTTGGAGCTCAAACTGATTGTGAACACATGTAAAATATGACGACTGTAACCTGTAATCAATGTTTACAACTTGATCATTTTACAGTATTAATTTCCTCCTACAATTAAGCTTGTGAGGGGTTGTTTCCAGTTCTTAATCTAGTGTTACTTGTGATCTAGTGATACTTTTTTTTTCCCTTGGAAAGTACGATGTGTTTCTTGCTTTAAAGAATTATATCCAGCTAGCCTATTGGTGAAGGCTGTTTTTATTTAGTATAAAGTCACAGTTTTTTTTAAGTGTCTTTTAATGTCTTTGTTTTGCAGAAGCGGCTGCGTGGCCTTAGATGTTGGATGGCTGTGCTGCATGAGATTTTGCACATTTTAAATAAATATACCGTTTTTACCTCACATTGCTTCATTCCTTGATTTACTTATCTGTACTTGTCTTGAATTACACAACATTTACACAATTTACAAAACTCTTTTATATGATTAATAATTTGATATATTATAGGAAATGTACACTTTACATTAGTTGTTAAATGTAATGGTTTGAACATAATTCCTAATTCTTGTCCTTCCCTTTTGCACATACTCAAAAAAAGTGTATTTAATCATATATTTTTAAATAAGAAGTGTAATCAAAAAGAGTTGATACAAAACTGATAAACGCAGTAGGCCTAAATATGAAGAAAATATCTAGATACAATTAATGTTGTTTGTGTGTATACAACAGTATATGGTTTGTGCACACTGAGGGAAAACAGCTGACAGGAAACACGACCTACTTTCACCGGAAAGGAGGAGCAGCTTTTTATTGTCGCCTGAGAGGAGCTGCTGTAATGGCGGTGTCTCGTCGCTCCTCGCAGCAGCAAAGCACCATACAGTCTCCGCCGAGAAACAGCTCTCTCTCGGCTGCTCCGGGCTCTCCTCCGCCGATGGCCCTGATCGTTCCCCCGGAGAGTGAGAGGGAATGCGCCGGAGGGATCGACGTCGCTCCGGCCTCCCCGGACCTCCCAGTCCCGGTGCTACCGAGCAGTGCGAGCTTCTCCACGACAACAACCTCCGGAGGCAGTGGCAGCAGCGTCTCCAGCCCCGGATCCGGAGCCTCCAGCCCGGCGGACGGCAGCAGCGGAGGGGCCTTCAGGGAGCTGTTCGAGGCCTGTCGGAACGGAGACGTTTCCCGTGTGAAGAGACTGGTGGACTCGGTGAATGTAAACGCGAAGGACATGGCTGGTCGAAAATCAACCCCGCTCCACTTCGCTGCGGGTAAAGCTAACGGCTTGGCTATGTTTATGCTAACATTAGCTATCATACTTTAACGACGAAGCTATGTTTATGCTTACATTAGCTATCATAGTTTGTAACTAAAAAACGATGTTTATGCTAACATTAGCTCTCATACTTTTACTATGATGCTAAGATTAGCTATCATACTTTAACGTTAAAGCTAATGTTAGCAAAAACATAGCAACTGCTTCAGCTATGTTTATGCTAACATTAGCTATGATATTTTAACGATTAAGCTAATGATAGCATAAACATAGCTAATGTCTCAGCTATGTTTATGCTTACATTAGCTATCATACTGTAACTATGGTTATGCTAACATAAGCTATCATACTTTAACTATGTTTATGCCAACATTAGCTCTCATACTTAAACGATTAAGCTAATGGCCCCGCTATGTTTATGCTAACATTAGCTATAATAATAATAATAATAATAATAATACATTATGTTTTTGAGGCACTGTCAAAATACCCAGGTTTACTTTACGATTAATAAAATATAAACTGTATAACCGTCATAACAACACATTCAATACATACAGGGCAGACAGAAAAAAATGACAATAATTAAAATTGTGTTTTTAAAGCTATCATACTGTAACGATGAGCTAAGAAAAAGTCTCAGTTATGTTTATGCTTGCATTAGCTGTATTAGGCTTTAACGGTTAGATAGCTAATGTTGTTGTGGTGTAAACACAACGTTCAGTTTAAACGGCTAGTGTTGCTAAGCTGCTAATGTGACGTTCTCTAATGCAGATGTCAACATTTCTGTACTTCAGCTAATTCGTCACAACAGGATGTGCAAAACGACCTCTAATTTAGCTAAAATGTCAGTTTCAGGCTAATTGTAATTGCAATATTAGAATATGCCCACATTACTGTGTCTGTTTAGCACATTTCTGCACAATACTGCCACTTTTTACACCTTCACGTGCTTTACTTTTGTAATACAAATTCAAAGAGCTTTATTGGCATCACCATAATGACATAGAGGTTTGCCAAATGTTTGTACAATTACAACATATTTACATAAATATACATTTGGCATGTGTTATGTTCATATTCATTTTGAAAAGAAGCATAAATACCATGTTTTTTGTATAAGGTACAATATACTTTTTGAACATGAACTAGAACAAATAAAGCACAGTACAAATAGAACTCAAATATATTTTGATCCTCTTTCAGGTTTAGAGATACACACAATTGTGCTATGTATCAACAAGGGTCATATCTAATAGTGAATTATTTAGGTATGTTTGAATTTAAGTATTTATAGAAGGAATAGCCTTGTTAGTTATGTTTAAGATGAGTCAAATATTGAGGAAAAGCTGAACTGAAATGCCTTTTGATCCTCTTCCAGGTTTTGGCAGAAAGGATGTGGTGGAGCACCTCCTGCAGACGGGGGCCAATGTTCACGCCAGGGATGATGGAGGACTTATCCCCCTGCATAACGCCTGCTCTTTCGGCCACGCAGAAGTTGTCAGCCTCCTCTTGTGTCAGGGAGCAGACCCCAACGCCAGAGATAACTGGAACTACACCCCGTTACACGAGGCTGCCATCAAGGGAAAGATAGACGTCTGCATTGGTAAGGATCACCGTGTTCAGGCACAGGGAATTATGCAAATCTGTAAGGTTTTCTAGACGGACAGATTTTGTTAGCTGTAATTTTTCATAATGTGTATAAGCAAGGTAGCTTTTGTGCAAATTGTTCATGATTATAGTCATGATCTAGTCCTATTTAACATTAGCTGCTATTTAGCCTATGTTCATGAAAATAACTTTATAGGTTGGTTTTTGTTGTAAACAACACATATGTTTTGTTAGATTTAATCAGTGTACTGGGCAGAGGTGGTAGAAGTACTCAGATCTTGTTCTTGACTAAAAGTAGAAGTAATCAGATCTTGTACTTGAGTAAAAGTAGCAGAGTGTAGGAATACTCTGTTAAAGTAAAAGTCCTGCTTTCAAAATGTTCCTCAAGTAAAAGTAGAAAAGTATTATCATCAAAATATAGTTAAAGTAGCGACAGTAAAAGTAGTCATTGTGCAGATTGGTCCATTTCAGAATAATATATATGATATGTTTTATAATGATTGATCATGAAAGTGTTCTCAAAGCTGGTAAAGGTGCAGCTAGTTTGAATGACTTTGTATACTGCAGGGTAGCTTGTGAATTTACTCCAGGTGGAACTAAAGTCTAATTTAACACTTGATTATATTTCACATCATTCATCCAGATCTGTAAAGTAACTAAAGGTATTAAATACATGCAGTGGAGTAAAAGTACACCATTTACCTCTGAACTGTAGTGGAGTAAAAGTACAAAGTAACATAAAATAGTAATTAAGTAAAGTACTTGAGTAAATCTAATTAGTATCTTTACACCTCTGGTACTGGGTGACAGTTACATAACATAGGAATTATTATTGAAGTATGTTCTTGTCTGCTCCTCTGTCCCTCAGTGTTACTCCAGCATGGCGCAGATCCAAATATCCGCAACACTGACGGAAAATCTGCTCTGGATCTAGCCGACCCTTCAGCCAAGGCTGTTCTCACCGGTCAGTGCCTCTCAGCTCGCTTCCTCTCACAACTAATATTTGAATCATTAAATAAAAGTCGCACTTTATACTCTAATGTATGGAAAGTGCTCTGAAATAAATGTTATTTCCATCCAGGTGAATACAAGAAGGATGAACTTCTGGAAGCAGCAAGGTGAGTATCAGACATATGTGTTTACCTCCTGTTGGCCAGAGTCAAACAGCCACATAGACATCACGTACTACTCTTAAATGTGACCATTTTGAATAAGTACTACCTAGTTACATCCAGTAAAGCAGTATTATCATCTGTGAAAGACTGCAGAACTACTTTTAAATTATATAATCTATATTAAAAGCAAAGGGGATGTTGATTTTGATAAGAAAGGGGGGAGACTACAGGTGAATAGGGTCAACATTTTAACTAATACGTTATCAACATGACAATAACTTACATTAAGACCTTCATTTTCCTTATACCAAGATTCTTTTCATTATCTTACCCTAATTTATGGTGAATTTAGAACAGTTTTCAGAGACAAAAACACACAAATAGTCATTTAAACACCAATAATGTGTATTTTGGGATGTTGTCTTTCCACTACTCCACAGCCTAGGATCTTACATTTGAGCAGTGCATGATAACACCATTTGTTTTCCTGTTGCCCTAATGACAGCAGTCTCTTTCAACCATGTAATTACAGGAGTGGAAATGAAGAAAAGCTGATGGCACTGCTGACTCCATTAAATGTGAACTGCCATGCCAGCGATGGACGCAAGGTAGAGAACCGCTCGTACAGCACCATTTCACAAACTGCATCAACACATTTTGATACAACATGCTGTGAACGAGGCCATTTTTAAAAATACTATAAAGTCAGATTCTGAGAAAAAATGAATACTTTGAAGAAAAAATCAAATTCTGAGAAAAATTTAAAATTTGAGATGCATTGTGGGACATGTAGTTTATGGGCAACGTGCTTCTGTAAATCTGCATGTAACCGTATAATAAACATACTATATTCTTTGCAAGCTCTTGTGGGGCCACATTAAATGAAGTCGCGGGCCGGATTTGGCCCCCGGGCCTTGAGTTTGACACCCCTGGTCTAGAGCATGATTATTTTGTGAGTGTTCTAGATGAGTCATACAGTGGGTGACGGGTGCAAACGAGCTACAACGGCCCAAAACATTTCAGAAATGATGCAAACATAAAAACACATCTGTGCCAAGACACATGCAGATGAAGAAACATTTTCACCAACATGACAAGACATACGAGCGTTTACTAAAAGCGATGCATAAATGAAAGCGGCAAGGAGCTCAAAACAGAAACCAGGGATTATAAAGACTTTCTCTGTTCATGGGATGTTACCTAAAATGTTCGTCCAACATTATTAAACATATGCTGTAAACTAGTTAGCGAACTTATGGCGCGTTTCCACTACAGCGCGGAGCACGGTTTAAGAGGGCTGTGACGTCAGCGGCCCGTTTTTGGTTGCGTTTCCACTTGGCCTAGTACCGGCCGGCGGGTCCTAATTCACAGTTTTTCTGGCTTCATAAAATCGTGGGTCTAGGGCCAGAGACAACGAGGCTGAGTCGGGCTGAGTATGCTAAACTAGAGAGAGAATCGCTGGCAAGGGGGCTACAACAAGATGGACATATTTGACCGTGATTTAATTGTAATACACGTTTCAAAATGATGCCGAAGTAACAACATACTGATACCGGTTAGTAAAAACCATGAATTAATGCTTTGGCAAGTTTGCAGACAGACGGCAGGCGAAAAACCTTTTAAAATGCTTGTTTTCTAAATGGAGATTGGCTAAGCTAACGCAGTATATGCTCCGACCGTCCACACTCACAACAACGGCGTATACAGACATAAATAAAGCAGCGACTGTATTCACCATGACACAGGCAGTCTGTGGTTTGTACTTGTTTAACTTTTGTCTAGTTTCTGAACAGATATGAGGAGCTGTGAGCTCTGAGTGCTAACAGCTAACGGCTGATGTTGTTTTTCTGTGGTTCTCATTGAAGATCACGTCACGGCTCCGCCTACACTGCGTTACTATAGATACTACCCCAGTTCCTAAACTGTAATGGAAATGCGCCATAAAGTGAGCCAGTCCTAACAAGGCCTAGCCATACCGAGCGAGGCCGTGTAGTGGAAACGCGCCATTAGCTAACCTAGTTATATCGGAAGGATGAAACTTGCATTTTAGGTGACTTTCCACCAACAGCGACAGTTGGCCAACTTTTTCATCCGGTCCCAGCTTCCATTGTGTTTTGAGCTTCTTGCAGCATTTTGTTTATGCAGCTCTTTTAGTAAACACTGTGCATGTTTCGTCAAATTGGTGAAGATGTTTCCTCATCTGCATGTCTTTTGGCACATGTAACTGCAGCACATTACTCCTAATGGCACTCGTCAGCCACATATTTGGCACTCATTGACATCCCAAGTCTCGTCAGGCACTGATATCTCTTTAGAGCTTATTTAGATTGTCTTATTTTTGTACAAACCACTTACTCCTCTCTTCCATGAATGTCTAATGTGGCTAACAGTATATCCTAACCATGTTTTCTCCAACAGCAGTTAAAGTGTGACTCCTTCCTCGCCTCCTTTGCAGTATATTTTGAGATTTTGCATGATCCGTCAGTGGAGATTTTGTCTGCGATTTAAACAGCGGGCACCGTTAACCAGTCCTCTTCCCAAAGCTACAGAGACAAGGGAGGAGATTCACACACTGAGCCCATCCCCCTCTCTGGCCTTATGACGGATCAAACAGTGATTTAATAACCAGGGCTTGTGTTGCATTGATTTAAGAAGGAAGAGAAAAAACATTGCTGTGAAAATGTAATTTTTGTAATTTTTGTTTCGTTTTTGTTTTCCGTGTGACTCTGGCAACATTTGTCCATCAGTCAACATCCCAAAAAATGCTGGTAAGTTGACTTTGATAACGGCCACTTGATTGATGTTCTGTTGTGATTCATACTTTTTTTGTTATAATCCTTATTTTTTTGTAATCCATTGTTTTTATTTGACCAATAATCTGGCTGTCACTTGTAATTGTACGTCATGGGACTGGGTTTACGGGTCACTCGTTACCCGTGTGTGTGGTGTGTGTGGGGTGTGTGTGTGTGTGTGTGTGTGTGTGTGTGTGTGTGTTGTGTGTGTGTGTGTGTGTGTGTGTGTGTGTGTGTGTGGTGTGTGTGTGTGTGTGTGTGTGTGTGTGTGTGTGTGTGTGTGTGTGTGTGTGTGTGGTGTGTGTGTGTGTGTGTGTGTCGGTGTGTGTGTGTGTGTGTGTGTGTGTGTGTGTGTGTGTGTGTGTGTGTGTGTGTGTGTGTGTGTGTGTGTGTGTGTGTGTGTGTGTGTGTGTGTGTGTGTGTGTGTGTGTGTGTGTGTGTGTGTGTGTGTGTGTGTGTGTGTGTGTGTGTGTGTGTGTGTGTGTGTGTGTGTGTGTGTGTGTGTGTGTGTGTGTGTGTGTGTGTGTGTGTGTGTGTGTGTGTGTGTGTGTGTGTGTGTGTGTGTGTGTGTGTGTGTGTGTGTGTGTGTGTGTGTGTTTTGGGTTTGTGTCATGGTGGCGACTCATCTTGTTTGGACTTTGAGAGGAGTTCACAGTGTCCTCTGCCTGCTTTCTCTTCAGCGTCTGTCCTCTCCTTGCACACTCACACTTTTCAATCACTTGCTCTTCAGTCAGTCTTTCTGATTTGGGCTTTATTTATTCATTAATCAATTTTCCTTTTGGATGATCACTCATGCATGCCCGAAGGCCTGACCCCCCCCCCCCCCCCCCCTTTGCATTTTGTCAAACGATTCCTCAGTCTGTGAAATGTGTGTCTACTTCACGTTGGAAGCGGTTAATGGACTAAAGTTTTTCACCTGTCATTCTCGTGCTAACACTCCATGGTAATGACTGCTAACATGCTCGTGTCATCCCACTCTGAACGAGGCCTCCATGATTCGACTGATTCGAATGTCTCTCCTTTTTGACTGTTAGCTTGACCTGAGCAAGACTTTTTTTAGCTTCCTCACATCAAATTTCAGTTGGGGTTTGATAGCATTTCATCAAATCTGAATACAGTATTGAATTCCCTTAGTATATTCATTGCCGGTAAAGGTTTTTAAAAGTATTTTTATTTAGATGTAGGATCCAAAAGTTGTAAAATGAACATCAAGAAGTAACATTTTTGCTAAATATTTATAATTTTTTACCTGCTCTATATTCTAAATATTAAAAAAGCAGACTTAACCATGATCAAGCTATCATCTCCCAACCGTAATTCCTACGCAGCCATTTTGAACTTAATAGTTGCTGTCTTTCTTGTCATCTCACCACATAAAACCTAATTTAAAACCCCTCAGACTTAGGTATATATCTGAACTTTGCTGATATTGGGAAGTGTCAGTAAAGATACATGACGTTGAAGTTGCTCGTTGTCACTCGGACAGAGTTTTTATCGCTGGATTTTTTTAATTTTCTTTCTACCCACCATTGACTTTGCATCATCATATCAGCCATTCATCTGCAACTCAAACACATGCTTCTGGCCCTAATCAGCCGCTTGCTCCTGAAGGCAGCACACACACACTGACCCCCCCGGCGGCCATCTTTGTTTGCTAACAAGCCGTCTTCTCTTCCAGTCCACGCCGCTGCACCTGGCCGCCGGATACAACCGCGTCCGCATCGTCCAGCTCCTCCTGCAGCACGGGGCCGATGTTCACGCCAAGGACAAGGGGTGAGACGCTTTTTTTGTTTTGTTTGGGGTGAAGTGTCTTGCCCAGGGACACAACGACATGCTGACTGCAGTGGGACTCGAACTTGATTGGCGCACTTTCCCACTGAGCCACAGCGTTTAAAATACTACATCTTTTAATAATGCAATGCTTTTTGTGTCTCTGCAGTGGCCTGGTTCCTCTTCACAACGCCTGCTCCTACGGCCACTTTGAGGTCACCGAGCTCCTGCTTAAAGTAAGAACCACAACAGGTTTCACAGTCAATTGAAATGGCTAGTGCAAATATCATAGAGAGATAATCCTGGCCTACAAATCATATTCCACAGACGTATTAATGTCCATTTATTGTTTGCAGATCTTCTTAAAAAACATATACTGTATTAATCTTTATATTTTTCAATGCTGCCCTACCATTCTCTATCTGAGGAATAGAGGCAACAACAAAATTAAGTTAGATAGTCAGGGTTCTTACCAGTGGCGTCGCCTGGCCTGGGCATCCGGGGCTAAGCCCCGAATGTTTTCAGGTCCAGGCGACGCCCCTGGTTCTTACGGTCATTAAAAACCCGGAAAAGTAATGGAAATTCAAAATGCTAATTCCAGGCCCTGGAAAACAATATTTTTCCCAAAGTTTTGGAAAAGTCATGGTAGTCACGAAATAGTAATACTATAATGATAATACATACTGTATCGTATAGTAATGAAACGTAAAATGGCATTTAACTGTCGAGTTATTTTGCTGGTGAGAGATTTTAGTTGCATGTAGAAGCTAGTAAGCCTACTATTGGATTTGTTTTAGATCAATCATTGGTGAAAAAGTGTATTAACCCTGGATAGTAATAATTATCAACAAATAATTAGACAAATACAGATGAATGTATACAGGGGTAACAAGGTTACAGGAAAACACAAAAACAGTCAAATCCAAAGTGCATAGGAGCGCTAGGCTGAAGGAGGAAACCCTCTTAATATAGAAAATGACAGTTGGTCCAATAAAGTCCAAGTAAAGGAATGAAAATGTATTTTAAAATCTTTTTTTGTGTGGAAATAAATCTCAAACCCTAATGCTCTGTTCCGCCCGCAGCACGGCGCCTGTGTGAACGCGATGGACCTGTGGCAGTTCACTCCTCTCCACGAGGCGGCCTCGAAGAACAGAGTGGAAGTCTGTTCGCTGCTCCTGAGCCACGGAGCCGACCCCACGCTGCTCAACTGCCACAGCAAGAGCGCCGTGGACATGGCCCCCACCCCCGAGCTGAAAGAAAGACTCTCCTGTGAGTATTCAGTCTCACACATCTTCAATATTTTTTTTTACGCATGCTTCTTAGGTAACATTAAGCTGTCTTGCTGTAACAATGGACCTTTCCCCTCTGTGGGACGAATAAAGGTATTCTGATACACACACACACACACACACACACACACACACACACACACACACACTGCCGACTGGAAGGAGACAAGACTTTACTTATCCTTGAGAATCAGAAACATGTTTATCACCAAGTAAGTTGACACGTACGAGGAATTTGACTTGTTGTGAAGAACACAGATAGGGAACTATTTTAAGAACACTATAATAACATTACAAAATATAGCAGTATTTACATTGATATAGAATGGAATAAAATTGAGGGAAATTCTTGTGCCAGAGTTACAAAAGATATAATATACATAATAATAAAACTGTACACTAACAGTGCAGTAAAAAGAGCAAATTAAACAAGAAACAAAGATGGACAAATAATGAATGTTAAAAACTGTACAGTGAGGAGCGGTATTGTAACAGTGCAAAAGACCTTAGTGGCAGATATGTAATTGCACATTGTATTATTGCACATTTATGATATAAAGCAGAGTGTTTTGTAGTGTTGATGCATATGGTTTCATTGGAAAAGCGATATTATTTAACCGTTGTTTTTTATTATTTTCCACATTTCTTTAAGACACAAAAAACGTACCTGACCAAAATGCTGAAATAGTTAAATGAATAGTCATAATAAAAACACTAACACATTTAAAAAAACATGTTAAAAAAGAATGTTAAAGGTGGGGTAGGTAAGTTTGAGAAACCGGCTCGAGATACACTTTGTTATATTCCATGGAATGCTCTTAACATCCCGATAGCAATGAATATCTGAAGTGCTTTGACAAAAAATCCATAAAAAATATCATCTGTGGAAGCCGTAATACTGTAAAAAGCACGACCAATCATCTGAGCCGGCCCGGCTAAAATAACTGGATGGCCTACCTGCCTGTCAGCCTTCCATCTGTGCACAAACTTATCTCGTGCCCTCATTGGTCATGTGCGCGTTCGTGTGTGTTGGAGGAGGGGCTCTGTAAGGAAGAGGCAGATTTTTTCCGGCTGTGTATTTTCAAATTCTAGCACACTCGAGCTGGTTTCTCCAAAATGACCTACCCTACCTTTAATATAAATTATATTTGATTTAATTATATATAAATCCAACTAAATACAGCAAATACGAATAAATACACATTATGGTAGTTATAAGAAAATGATTTACATAAATCAAATAATATGTAACATTTATTCAACAAAAAAAGGTAAACATGCCTTTTCCTTTGCTCTTGTACTGTCTTAAATAATTGTCCACATTAGAAGAAACACAAAAAAAGAACTAAAGCTCAAATAAAAAAATGTATACGGAAGACATCGACTAACATGTCATCACTTAAAGGTCCCATGTCATGGCCATTTCTACTGATCATAATTCCATTGTTGAGGTCTACTAAAATAGATTTACATTGTTCAATTTTCCAAACTCACATTGGTTTCTCATACAGCATCTCTGTAAACTACGTGTATTCACTCTCTGTCCTAAATGGCTTGTTGGAGCTCCTGCCCTCCCCCCTCCCTGTGAGCCCACTGTGCTCTGATTGGTCAGCTCGTATATATCGTATAACATGTATATATGTACAACAAAATAAATGTATGAACTTGTTCCTCTTTCTCTCTGATGTAGACGAGTTCAAAGGTCACTCACTGCTGCAGGCGGCCCGGGAGGCGGACATGGCCAAAGTGAAGAAGACTCTGGCTCTGGAGATCATCAGCTTCAAACACCCTCAGACCAACGAGACCGCGCTGGTGAGAATCAACCTTCAATCCTTATGTTGGGGCTTAAGATCATGTATAGATTCCACTTCACTGTGGACGTTTTAAAATCCCTGCTGGAACAGAGCTAACAATGCTCCTTGTTTGAGCTCTATCTCTGTTGCACATTTAACAAGAACCACTGATTTCAGATGTATAATTATCATTTATCTGGGCATTTAGAAACACTCGTAAGATTTAGTTTACTCCTTGATAAGTGGATGCAATCGAAAGATCTGTAAGACTTACAATCCTCAGGAAGCACCACTTAAAAATATGTGTTTAAGAGACATGGAAATGAGTCACTCAGCATCATAAATGCACCAAATCACTAAAGAAATCTTTATTGAATCGAGACAAAAATGATCAAATAGTCAATTAAGATGGTGCAACACTTGTTATGTGTCGCTTTGTTTCTATCTGCCTAAATCCTTGCGTTGGTCCATTCGACTGCAGTGTGGAGTTTCAAATCACTGCTTGAACAGAGCTATCAATGCTCCTTGTTGTAGCTTCTTCATCGGCTACAAATCATGTTTTCTGACATCATTTTTTACTGTTCTCAGATATATTAATAACATTTATCTGGGGATTTAAAAGTGGTCTTGTCAGAATTGCTCTGTAGTAGTGATAGTAGTGATATTGTTCTTAGGTTTATGTGATTTGCTATATGTTTTGAAAACTGTCAATCACTGAAAACATTTGTCCTGAGCCGGCTGGTCCAGATTCCAGTGCACTAATCTGATGTGTGTTGTGTGTGTGTGTGTGTGTTTTAGCACTGTGCCGTGGCCTCCCCTCACCCCAAGAGGAAGCAGGTGACTGAGCTGTTGCTGCGTAAAGGAGCCAACATCAACGAGAAGAACAAAGAGTAAGTCCACAACCTTTAGTTCTCCTAAATATCACGGGGGGGGGGGGGGGGGGGGGGGGAAGAAAAGCAAACTGCACGTTGACTCCCATCAAGTACCAAGAAGCGAATAAATGGTGGCAGGAAATCAGGTGATAACTTCCTGTCCGTTGTGTCTTCTAGCTTCATGACTCCGCTGCACGTTGCCGCTGAGAGAGCTCACAACGACATCCTGGAGGTGCTGCAGAAACACGGAGCGAAGGTCTGTCTGATTGGTTCTTACATTTCCATTCTGCCTGAAGTTAAACGGGGTTAGATAAAGTGATCTGGTAGCGTCTAACGTTTTCCCAACCCAGTTTAGACTTGACCACGTCTACATGACGAAAGCAACGGTTTCATCCCACGAAATATGAATTTGACAGCCAGTCGCTTAATAGAGTGTTTTTTTCAAATAGATAAATAAAAAAAATTGTATTAAAGGTAAGCTACGTCTAAACATGGAGAAGCAGCGTTCAGTTATTATGCTCCACATATCTGCAACTCTTACTACTTTTAAATCCAGGCTGAAGACTTTATTGTTGCCGCTGCTTTTTAATTTAACTATTCATATCTTGCACTGTAACTTTTATTCATGTATTTTGTCTTTTTATTTGATTATCTTTGCTTTTTAAAGGTGCTATATAAATAAACTTGCCTTGCCTACGTCAATGTGGAAGTGGCCGTGGTTAGATCTGGTAGGATATGAAGTGTGTGTGTGTGTTTCTGAAACCTCCTCTGCCTCCAGGTGAACGCGGTGGACACACTCGGCCAGACGTCTCTCCACAGAGCGGCGCTCGCCGGTCACATCCAGACCTGCAAGCTGCTGCTGAGCTTCGGGGCCGACGCCTCCATCGTGTCTCTGCAGGGCTTCACCGCCGCGCAGATGGGCAACGAGGCCGTGCAGCAGATCCTCAACGGTAAACACACACAGCACGCTTGAGGGCCTGTGTCCACATAGCGCCTTCTTCTGAGCATCAGATTCTTTTATCTTTTTTTGTGATCACATTTTTTATTTATTTAAGCAGAAACACATGATACAAAACACACACATACCACGTGAAAGAACATACAAACAGTTCCCTTACACAGCAAACATAATCAAATAAAAACCCCACCCTCTCAGGATCAAGTGGCAACAGGCAACAAGTAGCTTCAAATGATATATGTACACACGAAAAACGAATCAGAGCCGACGTTTCAATGTCTCAGCCGCTGCAAGCCACACACTCACATCATCCTGTTAGTCCCATTGATACGGGCTGTTGACGGTTCCAAATGGACAACATCGATAAAAGTTAAACCCCATCGCTTAATGGATAAATCGTGTGGAGGCTTCCAGCGCACCACAATCATTTTCTTAGCAGCCGTTAGACCAGCAAGAACTATGCGTTTTTGATATTTAGGAATCTGAAGGGAAGACATGTCATTCAGTGGCAGAGTTTTTCTAACGTTTGTAATGAGGAGAGAGTACATGCCGTCGCCTCGGAGAGAAACAGCGTCATTTCTTTCTGGGGGCAGTGTTTAAAAAAATATCCAAACTTTTCAGAAAAGCACCGGTGGAAATTGCAAGCTTGTTTTTGATGATATCATAACAAAGACCACATCAGCAGATAGGACTGGATGTTACTTCCAGAGAGTATGTGACTTTTTATTGCCATACACGGATCATTCTTCTTGCTCTACGATTGTCAGACTGAGCATTTAATCTCATTCAGACAAAGTGTGAGGGCAAGAGTCCTTCGTTTTTTTTCGTACAAATGTATATTAGTACGAATGGATAATAAAATCAAAGGGGGTTAGGTGAGTCTGTCATGCAACCGTGTGATGTGTTGTCGAGATATCATTGGCATAGAAGCAATCAAAAAAGTACCCTAGCGCCCTGACAGAAAAACAGGCGCTATATTTCATGATCATTTCATTCAAACAATTTCCTCGCCTACGGTGAGGCAGATTTTGTAATTTTCAGTATAAAAATCTCTGACCCGATGAAAACGTTGATCATGGGATTTGAATTGTCTTTCTCTTTCCAGAAAATGTCCCCACACGTAACTCTGATGTGGACTACAGATTCCTGGAGGCGGCCAAAGCAGGAGATCTGGACACAGTGCAGGTGAGTTTCCATCTGGAGTTTATTCACCAGGAGGGACAGCAGTTTAGGTTTACACCATTTTCAGGAGCTTAGTTTGGCAGCAAAACTACTTGTGCAGAGATGCAATATTGCAAAGAAAATAATTCTAGTACAGTAGCGCTGTTGAAGAATTATTAGCACTAAGAAGTCTTGTTTTTATTGTCTTATAAACCTGTTATTAAACCTCTCATTTGAGTTGCTAATAATGATATTGTTTGTGTGTTTGGCAGCAACTGTGCACGCCCCAGAACGTGAACTGTCGGGATCTGGAGGGCCGTCACTCGACTCCTCTGCACTTCGCAGCCGGGTACAACAGAGTGGCTGTCGTCGAGTATCTGTTGCACCACGGAGCCGACGTCCACGCCAAAGACAAGGGGTGAGCGCTTTCAGAGATTATTTAGACACCAATACACACAGTTTTGGCTGGGTAACTGTTGGGAAAATAGTGAATGTACTCTTCCAATATGAGAGTACACATGATAACAAAGGTATCCCAACTGTAGCTGTGTGCATGACAGGATGTATGATTACCTAGAAGAGCATCAGGACTGTTTGAGGCATATGATAGCTATGTGATTAACATGATGATTCAGCCTCTATGGAGATAGACATATGACAAGCATGCTCATTTCTGACGTGGAGCTAATCTGAAGTAAACATTGAATACTGCTTTCTATTCCTCCATCTTGTGACTGTGTAACTCCCTCTCTTGGATATCAGCATGTGAAGGACACTGTTCAGGAACTAGTTGATGCTCTGTATGTGATGACTACTTCCATTCTGGAGAGGATCACAAATACATGGATTCTGAGATTGAAGAATTTTGAGAAAAAGACTGAATTTGGAGATTTTGAGAAAAAGTCAGAATGTTGAGATTTTCAGAAAAAAGCCAACATGTTGAGAAGAAACTCAGTATTGAAGCTCAAGCCGCTGACGAGTGATATTGTTCTAACAGTAACACGCCTTGCTTCTTGTGTGAAGATGTTCACTGTGTGTTTCCTCCTCCTGCAGCGGTCTGGTTCCTCTCCACAACGCCTGCTCCTACGGACACTATGAAGTGGCCGAGCTGCTGGTCAGACACGGAGCCTCGGTGAACGTGGCCGACCTCTGGAAGTTCACCCCGCTCCACGAGGCTGCAGCCAAGGGCAAATATGAGATCTGCAAACTGCTGCTCAAAGTGAGGATCCTTTTTATCGCCCCACTATGTTGTGATGATGATCATGGAAATGGTTCACTTTGACCTGTGAAGGCACTTAAATCTCCAAAAAGCATTATTAAGAGACAAGATGTCCATTTGTTTGTTTCTTTCCCTTCCTTTGTGGCTCACTCTTTGGTTGACTGATGAATAGAAACTAATTGGTTAAGAAAAAATATAAATGTCAAGATGTTATTTGTAAAGTAAACATTTCTGACATTTTCTGGATCAAAATAGCAGTTTTTACCAGAAAGCGGCCATATTTGTTCTCCTGCTGAACTGATTTGATGAATTTTGAGTCGATTGTTTAAGTTTTAGGGGACTCAAAACTGCCATGTTCAATCCAAAAAATATCAGAAATGGATTCAACATCCCCAATAACCCCAAAAACCAAACCAAAATGTGCCAATTCATTTTTAAGCTATTGTCTGCATATGCTTATTAATGCAACTTATGCCAAATGTGCAAGTTAGCATCCTTAAGTTTCTATGTGCTGGTGACCCCTACTATACATTTCTATCATAAAACTTCTGTGTACTCAACATTTCCAGGATCACAGTCCTAGCAAGTAGACTACTCTACTAAACATTTATATAAAATCTATAATCCTTTCCTTTCGTTAAGCAGTATTCACATTGTTACTCTACCTATTTTTCTATAAAGTGAAGATTTGTTTACCAACCTTTGATACGTGCTCTGATAGAATAACTGTATGCTGTTCAATAATCCTGTCCTTTCCCCACAGCACGGAGCCGACCCGTCCAAGAAGAACCGTGATGGCAACATGCCTCTGGACATGGTGAAGGACGGAGACACGGACATCCAGGACCTCCTGAGGGGAGACGCCGCTCTGCTGGACGCCGCCAAGAAGGGCTGCCTGGCAAGGGTCCAGAAACTCTGCTCCCCCGAAAACATCAACTGCAGAGACACACAGGGACGCAACTCCACCCCGCTGCACCTCGCAGGTACTGAGCGCCTTTTCCTGTCTTTTACCTTACTAGCAGAGGGCAAAAGTACACGCATCCTTCACTCAAGTAGAAGTACAGATACTCGTGTTTAAAAATACTCTGGTAAAAGTAGAAGTACTGACTAAACTTCTTTACTCAAGTAAAAGTAAAGAGGGCTTTGAAATGTACTTCAGTAAAAAGTACCCATAACTAGCAGCTGTTTTAAAGAGTACCTGACCTCCCTTTATATTAATAGAACAATAATATCATTGTTAGCTAATGAATGTTTCCATGCTGAACAACGGCAACATGACAACGTTCTCATTGGTCCCTCTTCTTTAGAGAAGACCAGGAAATGATGGATACACGGATCGTGTTCAAATCAATAGGCACGCAATGAATCTAAATAATAATGATCACGCCACCAAACACACATTCAAACTAAAGGAACCAGCCTGTTTGGAAAATGTAAGAAGTAGAAAGTACAGGTATTTGGGTTCAACATGTAAGAAGTAGAAAGTACAGGTATTTGTGTTCAAAATGTAAGAAGTAGAAAGTACAGGTATTTGGGTTCAAAATGTAAGAAGTAGAAAGTACAGGTATTTGGGTTCAAAATGTAAGAAGTAGAAAGTTCAGGTATTTGTGTTCAACATGTAAGAAGTAGAAAGTACAGGTATTTGTGTTCAAAATGTAAGAAGTAGAAAGTACAGGTATTAAAGTTACAACCGGCCCTTTGAGTGCAACCATAATGCTGATTTGGCCCGTGATGAAATTGAGCTTGAACACCCCTGTGCTACACTAATCTCTGCAAGACACTGATTGAAACCAAGTGTTCTGAAAGTAGGGTTTAAAATGCACTGCCTGTAATATTTAAATGTTGCTGATTCCTGTTGCTTCTCCTCAGCCGGCTACAACAACCTGGAGGTGGCGGAGTATCTCCTGGAGCACGGAGCGGATGTGAACGCCCAGGACAAAGGAGGCCTTATCCCTCTGCATAATGCTGCTTCTTATGGGGTCAGTGTCAACAACATACATCACTTAAAGGCCACCTATTATGCAAAATCCACTTGTTCATGTCTCTTCTACATCAACATGTGTCCCCTCTTCTTCATGTCTCTTCTACATCAACATGTGTCCCCTCTTCTTCATGTCTCTTCTACATCAACATGTGTCCCCTCTTCTTCATGTCTCTTCTACATCAACATGTGTCCCCTCTTCTTCATGTCTCTTCTACATCAACATGTGTCCCCTCTTCTTCATGTCTCTTCTACATCAACATGTGTCCCCTCTTCTCCATGTCTCTTCTACATCAACATGTGTCCCCTCTTCTTCATGTCTCTTCTACATCAACATGTGTCCCCTCTTCTTCATGTCTCTTCTACATCAACATGTGTCCCCTCTTCTTCATGTGTCTTCTACATCAACATGTGTCCCCTCTGTGGAAAGAGACTCTGAAAGTTTCAGGAACAAAGATTCTCTCTCTTTTTGTCCTGATCCATTTATATAAAAACCTGTCTGAAAATGAGCTGATCAGATTTTGGCCACTTTTTGATGTCATAACGATGTTTTGGCTTGTGTAACCATTAGCCAATCAGCAACCAAGGTAACCCCCCTCCCACCTTATCACCTGAATCTCCTCCTAGAGCACCATTGTGTTCTTTTTAACCAAATCTCTCTCAGAGGGGCGTGGGGAGGGGCTCCTTATTTTCATCTAAAGTAACAGACAGAGAATCAGCACTTTGGAAACAGGGCTGAAACAGAGGGGATTATGGGATGCTGCAATGATCTGTTTGGTGTTTCAGCCAATCAGAGACATGTTTTGTATATATCTGAGACCTGTAATATATTGATGAAAATCAGTATAATAGAGGACCTTTAAATCAAATACAGCTTCTGTGGGGTTTGATTTAATCACTGGAAAAGCTTAAAGAGGACATATTCTGCTCATAATTCTGTGTTATTTAAGGTCACTTAAGTCTTGTCTTCTGCCTCTCTTCCTCACAGCATGTGGACATTGCCGCCCTCCTCATCAAGTACAACACGTGTGTGAACGCTACAGATAAATGGGCTTTCACGCCGCTCCACGAGGCGGCGCAGAAGGGCCGAACGCAGCTCTGCGCGCTGCTGCTGGCTCACGGAGCCGACCCCACCATGAAGAACCAGGAGGGCCAGACCGCACTGGACTTGGCCACGGTAACATTTACTGAGAAAATAGATTTGAAAACGCATCATAAAATCCATAACGGTATCAGAATCATGATGCATGAATTGTTACCCACTCAAAACGTTGCTAATAAGTGTCTAAATGAGACGACTAAACGTCATCACGCCCAACATTAGCTGCCTTTAGCTTAGCGGTGGTGAAGTCATGTGACCGTGCTGTAGTTCCTTTATAGCCCAACATTAGCCGCCTTTAGCTTAGCGGTGGTGACGTGAAGTCATGTGACCGTGCTGTAGTTCCTTTATAGCCCAACATTAGCCACCTTTAGCTTAGCGGTGGTGACAAAACTTCACATTGGCTTTTGAACCACTTACATGTCAGCCTACAAAAATATGCTAGCCCTTCACCACCTGGCTAAAGTTAAACTTAGTTGATGTATCCTCCCCGAATCTTCTCCTAAAAATAGAGCGGCTCTTTCTTGGTTGATTCTACAACCTTCCACCAAGTTTCATGAAATCTCCACCAATTGTTTCTCCTGACACATTGATCCGAATAAGTAAAAAGTAAGTGCTTGAGAAAGCATTAAAACATCATACGAATGAAGAAGTGCTAAAAACACAATACACAATAAAAACAGAATAAAATAGAATGAAAGCATACGAGTTACCCGAACGCCTGCCCAAACAGGAATGTCTTTAGATGGCATTTAAAATAGTCTATAACCTACTTTGCAGAGGAGATGGTGACAGATAATGTGCATACATAAATGAAGGCTCTTAATAACTCCTTTCCCTTCTCTCCAGGCTGATGATATCCGGGCCCTGCTGATGGACGCCATGCCTCCGGACGCTCTGCCCAGCTGCTTCAAGCCTCAGGCCACCGTGGTCTCTGCCTCCGTCATCTCCCCCGCCTCCACTCCTTCCTGCCTGTCGGCCGCCAGCAGCATCGATAACCTCTCCGGTCCTCTCGCTGAACTGGCCTCCGCCTCCGGGTCCTCCGGGGTGGCCGACGGAGCCTCGGGCACCGACCGCAAGGAAGGGGACAGTAAGTGTACTTATTCATCTGTTTATATAGAAAAATGTGGGTATGGTGCATTTATTGGCGACATTTTAAGAGGAAAATGTACATGAACCCTCTCTTTTTCTCTACTAACGTGTATCAGAAATCAGAATCAGGTTTATTACCAGGTAGGTTGACACGTACGAGGAATTTGACTTGATGTCAGGGTGTATACATAAAAGTTAAAAAAAACACTTTAACACTACTAGTATTGCGTCACATTGAATATAGATCTGTTTATATAAAGAAATCTGGGTTTGGTGCATTCATTTGGTGACATTTGAAGAGGAAAATGTACAAGAACCTTAAAATCAGCTGCTGTCGAAGGAAAATGATGAGTAGGCCAAATATGCAAAGAAACACAAAATCGATACAAAGTCTTTTAAGATATTTTATTTGATTGCTTGCAAGCATGACGACTCCTTCCGAGTGCTCTGTGTGTGACAGACTCTCTTATAGGGACACATCAAAGATCATTTACATGACAACACAACAACATTTGGGCCCAGTTGGATCACAATAAGCAAAACTCACACCCTATAAAGAATAGTTGGGTGTCGCAGCTACCCCCATAGAGCAAATGTCTTCCTTCGCCCTGTCCTTACTGTAGTGTCATGAAACCCTTCGTGAACACATCTGTTATCAAACATCCTTTTCTCATCCACACCCAACATTAATTTGCTATCCATTCCCATTTCATTAGGATTACACTGTATTAAGCTTTAATACCATAATTGCCATAACATTTTTACTCTACTAACGCTCTGTTTTTCCACAGTTGCCATGCTGGACATGAACATAAGTCAATTCATGAAGAGCCTGGGCCTGGAGCACCTGAGGGACATCTTTGAGAGGGAGCAGGTCAGACATCTTTAAAATACTTATCAAACTGTGTGTTCATGCCCTTTTTAATCATAATGTGAGGAGCTCATTAACGCTGCAAATTAGATATGCTGTAGGCTCACTTATTGGCCATCTAGTGAGCCATGAAATACCTACGGACAATCTCACAGGCTTATCACTAAGTTGGGCTAAAACGCTGATGCTTTGCACAAGTGTTAACATTATATAGAATTAATAGAATTCTAGACATATTAGACGTTTTTATCCACCAAGTGATATTGTTTGAGTGTAGTTTAGAGCTGTGAAATTAATCAAAATGGCATCAAAATCTCAATATGGACTAATGCTATATTCAAACTGCATCCAAGCACTATAGTTGGTAAAGACTAAACATGTGAAAATATTGAAATGTAGTATCGTGGCGCTTCAGAGAAGTCCGGTCCACAAACTGTATTCTACAGACTTAGTAAAAACACACCCTGCACAAGACTGAGCAGATTTCTCTGATTTGTGTGAACTACAAATATGTTTCTCTTCTCTCAGATCTCTATGGATGTGCTGGCTGACATGGGTCACGAGGAGCTGAAGGAAATAGGAATCAATGCCTATGGACACCGACACAAACTCATCAAGGGAGTAGAGAGGCTGCTGGGCGGCCAGCAAGGTGATGAGGCATTAGACTTCTTTAAGGTCACCTATTATACAAAATCCACTTGTTCATGTCTTTCATAACCATGTATCCCCTCTGTGGAAAGAGACTCTGAAAGTTTCAGGAACAAAGATTCTCTCTCTTTTTGTCCCGATCCATTTATATAAAAACGAGCTGATCAGATTTTGGCCACTTTATGATGTCATAACCAGGGGTGCGCATAACTTTCTTAGTGAGTTACTCAAATGAGTACCAGGAGACAATGTTTGGTACGCAAGGTTATGTGTTCAGCCCCTCTGTTTCGCGAACGTCGACAGGGGGGGTGTGGCTGGGGGTGTGGTATTGAACGTCGACGGGAGGGGTGTGGCTGGGGGTGTGGTATTGAACGTCGACGGGAGGGGTGGGGGTGGGCGCTAGTGGAGCATCTAAAGTAACAGACAGAGAATCAGCACTTTGGAAACAGGGCTGAAACAGAGGGGATTATGGGATGCTGCAATGATCTGTTTGGTGTTTCAGCCAATCAGAGACAGGCTCTGTATATATCTGAGACCTAGAATATATTGATGAAGAACAATATAATAGGGGACCTTTAACAGCTGATTTAACTGATCTGTTGTTTTCTCAGGTGGAAACCCCTACCTGTCGTTCCACTGTGCGAATCAGGGCACGATCCTGATCGACCTCGCTACCGACGACAAGGAGTACCAGTCTGTGGAGGAGGAGGTGAGTCTGCTTCACTTTCTGTGTAGCTTCAAGATTCAGGGCTTTATCATCATGTGCACAGTAGCTACAGTGTAGATATGGCAAACTGAAGTCACAGGCTCCTCCAACAGAGCAACATGAATATATATAGGACATATAACAAATGGAACTGATAAAACGGTGCAAGAGAATGTTTTGAGATGTGCAAGTAAATACAAATAGAATAGAAATATTGCAAGAAGACTCTATATACACGTAAATGGAATATGATATATAGATAGATAGTTTGCTGTTTCCTTTTATGTTAACTAAATTAGTTGGCAGAGACTGAACACCATGATGTCACCAGCACTGCCTCTACTACTGCACTGTTTCACCTCCAAAATGCACCTCCACTGCGATGCATGTTAGGCTACAAAGTTTTCCATTGGCAGGTGGTTTTGATAGTATGGCTTAGACATGGTAAAAAGAAGCTTCTGCGTAATTCCTGCCGTCTGAATTTGGTTTCTAATTGACCAAAAATGTATGATTTGACACAAAGATCCTTCATTTGTGATTTTATGGTAGAAAACGGACATTTCCAAGCCATCATTGGTGGCCATCTTGGATTTTTTCGTGGCTAACAGGCTTTTTTCAATAATCCCAAACGAGTTTATATGCCAATTATAGTACTAGTACCCACTTTTGAAAGATTTCCCTGGTATTTTCTATTATCTGCAGCTCTACTGTTCTCACTGTGCTGTGAGACAGGAAAGTAAAAGTGTGCTTTTTGTTCTGTCCCTCAGTTGCAGAGCACCATCAGAGAGCACAGAGACGGAGGAAACGCCGGCGGTGTGTTCAGCAAATACAACATCATCAAGGTCTGAATATCTCTGAACCCTCAACTCAAAACATGTTTCAATTCAAAGGTTTTAATGTCATGTGCACATAAGCAACAGTGTAGAAATTGCAATGAAAACCTCATGACCACCAGAGCCCAATAATGCAACAAAGTTATTATGAAACGCAAACACAGAACAGAGCGGCTTTTATTGAGTATATTTGTTTTGGAGAAAGTATCAGACATGACTCCCAAAGAGAGATGCAATGATAAGTCCACTTATTGTTCAGTGGATCCTCGGAAAATGAATCACTATTTTAATAATCAGTTAATGTTTCAAGTCATTTTAATCTAAATCTAAATAAAAAAAGGCAGAAAATGCACTTTTCAGACAGATTTATGAAATCTACTTTTTACTCCAATTTGATGAAACTAGATGGCCCTCAACACAGAAATATATACATTTAAAACTCAAAAGGAATGTTTCTTTAAGAGTCTATTAGTAGTTGTTCTTGGTTGTAAGGGTCTCACTAGCACTGAGCTCGCTATCCATCCAGTTAAACCGTTTGAAAGAAAACTCCAGCACAGTTGTCAGTTGAAGTCTCTTTACTTGGTGAAACTGTAAAGACAATACAGACATAACAGTTTATTATTGACTGCCCGACTGACGAGCTAAATAGACAGAATACTTCACACAATGAACTACGGTGCACAAACTGAGAAGCTAATCAGCCTAGCCGCTAGTAGCTTAGCCGCAAAGAATACTCACTGCATTCCTACAAACATAAACATTTTACATACAACATATTCCCATGAAGCCACAGGCTGTCGGACAATAACACTCACAGACGATGCGTGAACCAGCGGGAAATACGAAGCACAGCCCATGGAGAGCAGACGTCCGTTCATGAAACAACCCAAGCTACACGTGGAGCACACCCGGGAATGAACAAGTTCGGTCTCCTAGCAACAGGAATCGAATAAACCACGAGAAAGCAGCAGTGTCAAACAACCACCACAAGGTGGTGCCAAAACACAGCCAAGAAAACACATACACGACAGATATACACCAAAAACACACATCAAGGACAGAACATTGGTGTTAATAAAAGTTTTAGTTACGTTTTTTTAGTGTTTTTTTTTTCATGGTGACTGTCTTCTCTCCATGGAAGTTTTAAGTACATATTTGGTAATAACCAGATTTAAAAAAGTGGTTTTGCATGATACTTTGCAAAGAAATTCAGTTTTGGACGTGTGTATTTCCATCACGAGGATGCTCGCAATAAGATTGGTGGATTATATTTACTACATTTTTATTTTGGTGCACTTTTGGACTACAATCCTTTTGAGTAATTTTTTTATACAAAAGTGTCATAAAATGCAGTTTTCAGCCTTTCAAAGTTGGAGATATTTTGTTTTTCTCTGTTTTATATAATAATGAAATGACTATCTTTGAGTTTTGGACTTACGAAACAAGACATCTACACCTTTTACTCCGAGGAACTGGGATAAACGGTTGTTAGTCGCAGCCTTCCTCTCAACATTACGTTTGATACGTGTTATATTTCCTCCACAGATCCAGAAGGTGGTGAATAAGAAGCTGAGGGAGCGCTACACACACCGCCAGAAGGAGATCGCAGACGAGAACCACAACCACCACAACGAGAGGATGCTGTTCCACGGTAAACACACACTGAGTTCAAGAACTACTACTATTACCTTCATTTTGTTGTATTAGACAGTGAGGCAAGAAGGACACACAAATACAAGAATCTTAATTAACCAAGAAAACGTTCTAACCAGTTCAATCAACACAACAATACTCTGATCAATAAAACAGCCACCAAATAAAGTGTTATGTTAACAAACTGATGTCCACATAAGAGAAAGAAGGGCACATAAACAGTGTCATGGTCAAACCAAATAACACACAAGGGGTAACAAAGATGGACGTAATAAGCCCAAATCCCCAATATCAATAAAGTACTTCTTATCTATCTATCTATCTATCTATCTATCTATCTATCTATCTATCTATCTATCTATCTATCTATCTATCTATCTATCTATCTATCTATCTAAATTAGTATATTGCAAGATGACAACAGGAATGTTTATCGGGGCACTTTACAGAGCTCAGTTGTTTCAAAGTGAATTAACAGTTTGCCTTGTACATGAACTGTGTGCTGTGTGGGTAGAAACTAATGGAGGTGCGTTTGCTTTGCATTAACTACGGTTTGTAATCTCCGTCTGCCTCTGTGTTTCCTCCAGGTTCCCCCTTCATCAACGCCATCATCCACAAAGGCTTCGACGAGCGGCACGCGTACATCGGAGGGATGTTCGGAGCGGGGATCTACTTTGCGGAGAATTCCTCAAAGAGCAATCAGTACGTGTACGGCATCGGAGGAGGAACCGGCTGCCCGACCCACAAAGACCGGTCCTGCTACCTGTGCCACAGGTAAGGATCACATGACTGGGATTTCCTGATCAGAAATCTGTTTGTTGTGTTTCGACAATGCTTAAACAGTGTTTGTCATTTAGACCACCGTCTCATTTGTACTCATATATTTTGCTTTCCATCTCTGGTCTGTACTGATTGTACGTACAAAGAACACAAACAAACAATAACGACTAAACATAACTAAACTAACATAAGTGGGATTTTATCAGCTATTTTTATTTTTTTAGACTTAGTTTTTTTAGTTTTAATCAACCTAAATCCTGTCTTTTTTACTTCATTCTTGGCATTTCAGTCCTATCTTAGTAAAGGATCATGTTTTATTTTTGGTATAAAGATTACATTTATTCCTATAGTAGAGTTTTAGTCAATGAAAACGATGAAGTCGTCAGATAAATCCTAACATAAGTCAATTATTTTGAAGATAATTGTTTTTCTTAGGTATTCAAACCCTTACTCACTAACATCCAATATTTCAACATTTCACATTATTTTTAAGAACAGTTGTCATCACATATAACATTTTAGTTCTACTTCTATCTATCTATTTTACAATCACACTAATAAGTTAGGAAGTCGCTTTGAGTGTCACAGTTTAAACATTTCAGTAATTTTAGTTTTTTTTTTTACTTCATTCTTGGCATTTCAGTCCTATCTTATGGCGCATTTCCACTGCAGGGCCTAGCCCGGCTTAGTACGGTATGGTTAGGCCTTGGTAGGCCAGGCTCACTTTATGCTGCGTTTCCATTACAGTTTAGTAGCTGAGGCAGTAACTAGTAACGCAGTGTAGGCGGGGTAATCGGCTGTTAAACCGTAAAAACTGCCGTGACGTCATCTTCAATGCGAACCACAAAACCAAAACATCAGCCGTTAGCTGTTAGCCCTCAGAGCTCACAGCTCCTCATATCTGTTCAGAAACTAGACAAAAGTTAAACAAGTACAAACCACAGACTGTCTTTTTAATATAATTTTCCTTTTTTTCTTAGGTATTCAAACCCTTACTCACTAACATCCAACATTTTACATGATTTTTAAGAAAGGTTTTCATCACATGTTATATTTTAGTCCTACTTATGAAAAATCTATTTTACAATCGCACAAGTAAGTTAGGAAGTCACTATTACCCCTTTCACACCAACGGTGTTTCAGGGCCGGTTCGGTGCTGGTGCTTGAAAAGCACCGGGTTTTCCTGTTCACACCGCAGCGGAGCAGCGTCATAGCTCCGGAATCCGGTTCGTTTCGAGCACCAAAAAGTTGTCCGTCTAGAAGCAAGAACCGCATACGTCACGCTTACGTCGGAGGGGGGCGAGATTAACCTGAGCTAACACTTAAGGCGAGTACGGCAAATAAAAGTTGTAACAAGCAGTAGTGCTGAGCAAAGTGACTAGAACGCAACCACACACTTGTTAAAAAAAACACACTTTATAAAGTCAGGCAACACTAACCAGGCTTCGTGTGATTCTGTTTATTTGTACCTTACTTTGACCATCCGTTCGCTGTTATTGATCATTGTGGAGAGCAGGCAGACGTTTTGTTTGTTATTATAGCAGCTATCGGATGGAATCAATACATGGGCTGCACAGGTTGTCATGTCCGACTATCACAAGTAGAATCATAATGAAAAATACGTCGGTAAAAAGTGCCTGTAGAAAACTGCTTAGCAAGTAGTCAGTTTAGCTTCGGTTGCTATGCTAACATCACCCATGTTATACCAGAGAAACTTTCATAACAGCGTTGTGATGCCAAACAGCGTCAATTCAGACTGACACCAAACAGCGTCAATTCAGACTGACACACATTCACTTAAGGGGAACTGGGGATATGTATCAGCTGCTTGTGTGACAGTCAGACAGTGAATACTTTAGAGCCGTGTGAGCTAACCCGGAGCTAACGGGAGAATACACTCGTGGAAGAGCAGCCGGCCAGCACTGCAGCGGTCGGTAAATGCCGCTGAAACACATTAATAAACAATGAACCACGGCACTCTGGAGAAAAGTATAAGGTTGGAGAAGTCGTTATTTAATTTAATCTGGCTTCGTATGATTAAAAGCAACGCAGTCCCCGGCCCGTTGTTATTGTGAGGTGAGCTCCGGCGTTGGGGAGAAACTCAGCGACGTAAACTGTGACGTCATGACGCAGCAGCGGCAGCACCAGTCGGGCTCTGAGCGGTGTGAAAAGAGCCGGCGCTAAACCGAAGAACCGGTTCTGAACCAGAAAAGCTCTAGCACGGAGCTTGAACCGGAGTTGCGTTGGTGTGAAAGGGGCATTTGAGTGTCACAGTTTAAACATTTCAGTCATTTTTGTTTTTTAGTCTAAATCCTGTCATTTGGTCTTTTTTGACTTCATTCTTGGCATTTCAGTCCTATCTTAGTAAAGGATAATAATAACATTGTTGGTATGAAGATGATATAGTTTTAGTCAATGAAAGCGTTGTAAGTCATCAGATAAATTCTAATATTAGTCCATTTTTGTACTTGGTGAGTAATGCTGCGTTCACACCGGACGCGATGCGATGTTTGGGGGCGGCATATACAACGTTAGTTTAGCCTGGTCGACCCGATCTTCATTCAGAAAACAAGCATTTTACAAGGTTTTTCTCTGTTGAAGCAACGCACGCTGCCGTGTGGACGTACCGTTAGTCTGGTGGTTTAAACATTTCAGTCATTTTTTTTTATCCAGCAAAATATCACCCAGTTTCACTTTGATGTAAAAATACAGTGTCCTTCTGTCCTTAAATCATATTAAAGGTTGTATGTCTATCCTGTGTCCTCTCAGGCAGATGCTGTTCTGCAGAGTGACTCTGGGGAAGTCCTTCCTGCAGTTCAGTGCCATGAAGATGGCCCACGCCCCCCCCGGACATCACTCTGTCATCGGGAGGCCGAGCGTCAACGGCCTGGCCTACGCTGAGTACGTCATCTACAGAGGAGAGCAGGTAAACACACACACACACACGCGCACACACACTCACACTCACACTCACACTCACACTCACACTCACACACACACCACGGACTGAATACTCTTTATACTGTTACATATGCAAATACACATCCTCGATCATTAACCTTGATCCATGTCTCGGACGTGTTGGTTCCTTGAGTTTGAGTCCAACTGGGTGTGGAAATAGGATTTCTATCATTTTGTAATTGCCATCGTAAATTAACGCTTGGTATATTAAATGCATTAAATATATATATATGACTGTGCTTTGAGGACAGGGTTCAAATGTGTTTGTGATGCCTTACATCAGGGATGGGCAACTTTGATGGTGGTGGGGGCCACATAATTGATGTACTGGCCACCAGGGGGCCGCAGATTCACTTGGAACACACACACACACATTCCATGTGTTGTATGTAATTATTAACAAATATACTAAGTCTGACATCTTCATTGACATTTTACAATCTTTCAGGGAACATCCTCTAATAAGCTCACTAAACAAATATCAGTTCACAGACATTTTATTTAATGTTTACAAGTGGCATGTTTGTATTGAACAGGTTATTTAACAGTGGAATACAACTATTTTAAACTATTGGAAAGCACGGAAAATGTGTGTGCATTGAGATGAACCATTAAGATGACATAACATGAAGTCATGAACACTAACCCAGACATTAGTTGTCTAACTTGAACCTAAGACACTTATAATATATAATAAGGGGAATGTCAACACAGGCACCTGTCAACTCTCTGCTGTTCCTCAGCGCCGCCCCCCCTCCCTCCCGCTGAAATTATGAATGAAAAGCGTATAGTAATCATAGATAACACGGGTCCGTGACAGTTTGTTTTCATCTGATTTCAAATAAACAAAGTCTTGGTTTTTAGAATATTAAACTTGTTTAACCAAATTCAAATGATAAATACAACCTTTAAGCTTGTAAAGGCATAATTACAAGCGGTAACTTAACGTCACAGCAGGCATAACAGCAGCCGGTGTTTCTACAATACACACAAACGCGTCACAGATTACATGTTTGAATCCCTATATCCAGCCACAAAGCACCCTTTCTGTTACATGTTCTGTTCTCAATTTGACTTATGAGATACTTCAAGGTCCTTTTACTCTTTTGTGAACTATATTTTCCTCAACCTTTGTGTGAAATCTCTTCTCACATCTTGCTGTATTTCTTTTCCTGCAGGCCTACCCGGAGTACCTCATCACCTACCAGATCCTTAAACCGGAGATCACAGCTCAGTCTGCTGCCGCCGCGGAGCAGAAGTCGTAGTCTCACACACACACACACACACACACACACACACACACACACACACACACACACACACACACACACACACACACACACACACACAAAAAGGACTATTTCTCCTTTGTGTTGCAAATGCCTAAACACCTTTCATCCACCCAACACATTTCCAGTCTCCAGTGCAGTAGGTCCCGTGGTGCCCAGTGCTTCATGAGCAGATGTGCTGTATAATACTCGTGGTTATGAAGACACTCTTATTTTATTTTTTGCATCGGCTGCATGTTAATACAGACGCATGTGAAGAGTCTCCCCCCCCCCCTGCTTGTAGAGACTATGAAGTATCAGCATTAACAGTCTGTTGTCTCATGCCTTGTGACTTGTGCAAAACCCCTAACACACACACACACTCACACACACACACACACGTCAGTCAGATTTTTTTCCTTGCATCACAGCAGCACAACAACAAGACACATATTTAAAGAGGCCCTATTATGCTTTTTTGGGGGTTTACCCTTGAATGTAGTCTGTTCTATAGGTTTCTGTGCATGTCAATGGTCTGCAGAGGCTAAAATCCCTCTGTTCCCTCAATTGGACTCCTTTGTTTACTCCAACACAGTGTACGTGATAGGCTAAGGGGGCGGGACATCTCCAAGAACCAATCACAACAGAGCCGACCAGCTCACCTATCAGAGCAGACTGGGCTCTGGTTTCCGACAGAGGGTGAAAAGAGGGAAAAAGTATGTAAACATGTAGGGGCACAACATACACATCTGAGAGCATAATTATTTTAAGACAAGAAACAAACATTTGATATAATATTCAATCACAATTTGGGATTTTACCCCGTATTTAATTTCAGGATTGTTTGTGCACATAAAGAGGGCCTTATTTAACAATTCTTTTTTTAAAGGTAATAATTCATATTTACTCTTCAGCACATGATTTGGCTCGATGACAATGTCGATATATTATTATTATAGTAGGTGGATTCATAGACTGTTTGACTTGTGGAGAAACCCTTGGACCATGTAGTGTTCATAATCACAAACACATTTGAGTGTACTCGCCTAAAAATGACCTTTTTTGCAGATGTATTTAATGTGGTCTTTCCAGGACACACACACACACACACACACACACACACACACACAGCCTGTAACCTATGGACTACTACTGCCCCACCTCATCGTGTACAAAATGGCCTCTGGTTACCGTGATTTATTTTTATTTTTTAAAGCTAATTTAGAGAACACTACCAAACAGTGTGTCGTTGCTGTGCTGTAATGTAAGGCTGACTTTCCCACATTTCACCCCCCCCCCCCTTCTGCCCGACAACACTACGGACGCTGAAATGAAATGTTTTTTTTAGTGTTTTTGTTTAGAGAGAAAAGGGCTCTCTGTCAAATCACACACATGTTATGGTCACTATTACAATATTAAGACTGTGGAAATGCAATGTAAGGCATCATGATGACACAATCGTAAATGAAAGCGTGGTATATTAAATGCATTAAATATATATATATATGACTGTGCTTTGAAGAGAGGGTTCAAATGTGTGTTTGTGATGCCTTACATGTTTAACTCCCTGTATCCAGCCACAAAGCACCCGTTCTGTTACTCTCCCACGCGTAAGGATTTGCACTTTTACATAGAAGCCTATTTAAGTTATTTTGAATTTAAAAATCGCAAATTTTTCGGGAATATTTGTATAGGTTGTGTAAATGGTTGTGTATAACTGTTGCTGTTTAACAGTTTCTTTTGAGTTCAACTGTAAATGACATCTGAATTTCCTCCTCTTCCTCTTCCTCTTCCTCATGCCTTGATTCTCCCAACTTTTTTTTTGTTTTTTAATAAATGTCGCATTAACAGCTCCTCGTGGTTCCATGTTTTATTTTGAAATGGTGTCAACAATTATGCCTGTGTGACTTTTCCTGTAGAATGTTCTTTTTGTAGTTTCTGTATAAACTGTAAACATGAAGTAATCCCGCTGAAAATATTAAAGCCTAAAGGTGTTTTCGCCTGCAGAAAAAAAACAAGGTCTTTGGGAATCCTTACTGAGCCAACAGCATAGGTGGAAATGCTTGAAAATGCTTGAAATTGTACGAGGTGTTTTCAAGGTTTGAAAAGTGCTTGAATTTTGGGAATGGTGCTTGAATTTGGGATAAAGTGCTTGAAATTGTAAATGCTTTACCTCGCTTTTTAGATTAAAAGAAAATAAAGAAGTCGGAGCGCGCTTAATTGCTTCGCTTTTACATAAAACAGCTCCGCTCCGGCCTTCCCGCGCAATGTGCGTGACCGGCAAGTGTTTTTGTTACGTGTGTGCAGGGGCGGACTGGCCATCTGTAGAATCTGGAGAACCACAGAACGGCCGGTGGTCAAGGGCAGTTGACGGCCGGCCGGCCCTTTAATTGTTTTTGGTTTAACTTCATTTAAGTTGCGCTTCCGGCCGACAGAGGGCGACAGCGGCCGCTAATGCAGTTGTGTGGTTCTTACTGTCAAATAATCACACACGAAGAAGAAAAAAGACCGGCCACACAGACGCCGCAGCAGACAGGGAGAATGACAAAACATGGATAAAAATCTAAGAAAAAGGAAAGAAAAAGGTGGCGCCGAGAAGGCAAGAGAAAAAAAGGTGAAGTTACTCGCAGGTAATGCTAATAAATGTCGCAAATTGACAGACCTTTTTGGCAGCAGTGGTGCTACAACTACAAGCACTATCATCACCAGCAGCTTAGAACAAGTGCATGATGAAGACGAGAATGATGAGGGCGCGATGTCATATATACAGCCAGCCTCCTGCGTTCATGAGGGACAGAGAGTTGAGCTGGTGGAAGAACCAGCTCAACTGGCACATGCAAGTGCAGGGCAAGAGCAAGAGGTGGTAAGTACTATAGAGAAGACAAGTATATTCAACCTAGTTTTTCCAGTTAGTGTGTTGCTCATGTAAGCAATTCAATAAATAAAACTGAGAGTAGGTGTAATAGACTAATATTAAAAAAAAGTATAGATTAAACAAAAGTGTATTACTTGTCAACATTTATTAAGTATTAATTCAAGTAGTATAGTATTATAAAAATAATTAACATTATTTTTAACATTAATTTATAATTGTCTAGGTTGAGGATGGAACAAGGGCTGAGGATGACAGCCACTCACACGGCAGCTCAAGCCTGAGGTATTTTCAACGCCCACATTCTGACAATCACAGTCTCAATAGTTTTTTTTCCTATCACCCTCAGACCAAAACAAAATATTTGACAGTACAAAGACTGTTTAAACGCATGAACGGCACAGATAGAAAATGGCTCACATACTGTGAAGAGAACCACACATTGTATTGTGCAGTATGTTTAGCATTTGCCAAGCCATCTGAAAACAATCCCTTTGTAAGTGGCATGCAGGACTGGAACCATATCAGTCAGAGAGAAGAGGAACACGAAAGGACCATCATGCATAGAATGTGTGCGGAGGCCTACTTTTTGAGGGCATCCAAATCAGACATAGCCAGCCTACTACATTGATCACAAGTAGTGGCCCACAGAGATCAAGTGAAGAAGAAACGGCAGGTGTTGGAACGTGTGGTAGATGTAGTCAAGTGCGTAGGAAAGAGGTCCTCTCTACAGAGGGAAGGAATATGAGGCAGCATACACTAGATGATGACAACATTGACCATGGGAATTTTCTAGAGCTCATCATTCTTCTTGGAAAATATGATGTGTGTCTGAAAGAACATCTCACTGAGTGCACAGAAAAAAGTAAGAAGATGCACCAGTCACACTCACAGGCTAGAGGTCGGGGTTCTGCTGTAACATTCTTGTCCAAAACAACTGTAAACAACGTCCTTTCCACAGTGCAGAGGCTAATTCAGGAGACCATTGCAAAAGAGGTTGCTGAAAGCGGTATGTTTTCTGTACAAATAGATACAACCCAGGACATTACGTCCCATGAGCAGTGTTCTGTGATTCTGAGATACGTCACAGACACTGTCCAGGAAAGGCTTCTGGCAATGGTCAAATGTGAAGCATCCACTGGCCAATATTTTGTCCAGATGCTGACAGATGTAATGGATCGTTTTGATTTGGATATCAGCAACTGCATCAGTAATGCTACAGATGGTGCGTCCAACATGCAGGGTCAATATCGAGGCTTCTCCGCACTCCTGTCATCCAAAGTCCCAAACCATGTACATGTTTGGTGCTATGCACATGTGCTAAACTTCGTTCTGTCTGATACAACTGAAGTGTCCATAGCTAGTGGGTCCCTTTTCTCCCTCATGAATGACATTGCTGTGTTCATTCGTGAGTCATATAAAAGAATGAATGTGTGGGAGCATAAAAGCCAGGACACTCGACACAGACGCCTCTCCCCAATTGGAGAGACACGGTGGTGGGCTAAAGATGTAGCCTTGAAGAAGATCTTTGGCTCATTTGGAAAGCCAGACCAGGCTCTGTACATTGATGTCGTCATGACACTAAGTGAATTTCAAAGTCAGGCCAATTTGAAACCTGCAGTGCGTGTCAGAGCAAGAGGATTCTGAGAGGCGCTCCTGAGGTACGAGACGGTGTTGACTGCCCAGCTTTTCCTTCGGATTTTTGAAGTGACAACACCTCTTTCAAAATACTTGCAGACATGTGGACTAGATATCCTGTCTGCCCACAGGATGGTTCTGGACACTCAACATGCACTGATGAACATGACAAGAGATTTCATGACAGTGAAGACAGCTGCTGATACTTTTGTTGAGTGGGCAAATGCAAAACTGGAGGCAGAAGAGGACTGTGAGCTTGAGTTGGAAACAACCCTTCCACTGAAGAGGAACAGGAAAAGGAAGATGATGGCTGGCGAAATGGCAAGTGATGAGAGATTGACAGATGCAAACAGGGCCTATGAAGTAGAGGTCTATAACCAGGCACTGGATACTGTCACAGACAGTATCAAACGACGCTTCATGACCCACGGCACTCTGTATGCTGACTTGGCTGTCCTTGATCCAAGAAACTTTCCCCAAGTGTGTTCAGCAGAAGCTCTGCCTGACTCGACTTTTCAAGATCTAAGCAAATGCTTGCTTAAATTTGACAGCAGGGCAACTGCTGCAAATTTGCAGTCTGAGTTGAAGTGTCTGGCAGCCCAGTGGCCACGGCTTAAAATGTCTGCACTTGAAGAGTACAGAGTAAGAATTTGCTCTGGTTGTGAGGAAGAAGAGACAGAGGTTTTAAACAAACAGTGCAACTCTTGTAAAGAATGCTCAATATGTTGCTACCAACTTCTGAAACGCTACAACCTCTTCACAGAAGCCTATCAGCTCCTTGGTTTAGGATACAAGTTTCTTCTCACTCTGCCTGCTCAGCACATCAAAAGCCGAATAAGGAGCACACAGTCACAAGAACACCTGGAAGCATTCATGCTTATGTCAACAGAAAAAGACATCCTCATGTCCCTCGACAGAGTTGCAGAAAAAAGCAACCTACTAAAGAAACTGCTGATCCCCCAACATTAGGTTTACAAACCGCCTCAGACAATCTTGTTTATTTGTTTTAGGTGACAATTATCCCTTAAACTGCAGCCTAATAAACATCTGATTTTGGTGTGTGTACTGCTTTATGATGTCCCATGTGTTAAGACATCTGAGGAGTGTCCTCCCTCTTCTCTTTAGGGGAGAATTTATCCCTTGAACCGCATAATAAACAGCTGATTTCCAATAACTAATAGTACTGTATTATTTTATCTGATCTCCGCCCCCCCCCCCCCCCCCCCCCCCCCCCCCGTTGACATGACATGTGGCCGGACTGGGTCAGATTCCAGGGCTGAATTTTAGTCCCAGTCCGCCCCTGCGTGTGTGACCTGGGCATTCTGATGAGAGTGATAGATGACAGTATGCCAGGAGCAGCCGCGGCGTTATGGGTGGGCCTACTGGGCCTAGGCCCACCCACTCTGTCACTGGGCCCACCCATTCATTGATCAAAAATGACTGGGCGAAAATATAGTTTCCAACATTTTTATTTTTGATTATCAAAACTAACGATTACATAATAAAATAAGAGCAAACATGTGTTTCCCTTTAAAAAAGAAGCAAACATGTGTTTCCCTTTAAAAAAACGTAGAAAATTAAAAGCAACGTAAAATGTGAATTTGGACCGAACTCATAGTGGAAGCGCGGGAGCAAACACATCGTAGAACGTCTCGCGGGCGCGCGCAGATGGAGGACAGTGGACTGGACAGACACAACAAATATACCGCACTCACTAACGATGTCACAACAATCGATGTTCAGGTTTTCATTTTAAAGAGAGAGACGAGAGTGTGTTTAATGTTGTGCCCCGCTGAGCTCAGTCCCTCTGCGGGACGTAGCACCCGTTGCAGGATAACAGAAAATAGCATCCTAGTGCCGGACCTCTCAGCCATAGATGACCCGGCGGCTACACAGCCAAAGCTCATAAAGTACCCTCAGACACTTTTCGGACAAAAGAAAAGGAGCTCCGCTGCCCACTGGTATGACAAGAACACATTATTGGAGTATAGCATTAGCAAGGACAGTGTGTTTTGTAAAATATGCCGGCATTTTAGTGAGAGGCGGGGCCGGCGGAGAAGATACATTCAGTCGCCATGGTTACAGGGACTGGAAACATATCGACTATGCTCTCAGTAAACACGAATGCAGCGCAGCTCATGCAATAGCTATGGAGAGAAATACAAACTACAGACAGTGCGAGAAGTCTGACCATGGAACCATCCTCCATCAGCTACTCAACCCAGAGGGCCGACAGGGAGAGATCATTGAGAAAAATCGGGAACACGTAAAGTTTTACCGGACATAATTGTTACGTGTGCAAAGCAAGAAATTCCTCATTTCATATTGAGACTAAATATCTA